AATAATGTTCTTTTTAGCAGCATCATATGACCCCTTTAATTTAAATGGATAATTTAAGTGATCCACAGAAATTAATTTGAGCTTCCCAATTTCGTCCACGTTTTTGTCACAGATGCTATCCAAATATCTCTCTCATACTTACGAGTTATCATGCATTTTAAAATCATGGCAGCATTCACAATATTGATTATTTTTATATCGTGAACAAAATAATATTGGGTCAAATGTAAATTGCCTTGCCTCACACAGACTAATACTACTAAATTATTTTTTGTACTCATCTGAACCATCATTAAATGCTTGACCAACAAAATATCAAAACTATTGAGTCATAATAACTGCCCAAGAAGTGTTAATTGTCTAATTTATGTAATTGTCTGTGTAGCGGTGCAGAGGACAAGCACGGTTACATCTGGGACCGGCACTACAACATCTGCCTGGCTCGCCTAAAACACGATGACGTGGTCAACTCTGTGGCCTTCAGCCCAGCAGACCAGGAGCTGCTGCTGTCTGCCAGCGACGACTCCACCATTAAAGTGTGGCGCTCGCCACGCATGGTGCGCCTCGCCGAGGCACCCCAGCACCCCCCTCGGGCTCGCAAACTACTCTCCTGCTTGGCCGCAGAAGTGCTAATCTGAATGGTAAACCCTGACCTGGACCCTGGCGGGCGTAACGCAAGAGGAAAACACCACAGAAGGACACTCCATGCGCAGAGGGACATGTGAGGTCAAGAAACTGAGGATTCCACAGTGGTCTCTATGAGAAGAACAAGGATACGTGCATTCTTGTGAGGCCCTTTTGCAGGATGTGCCGTGACCAACAGATAACCGGAAGATGAGAAGCAACAAAAGAAAATGGGCTCTTTGGAACTCTATACTGGTGAAAGATCGCTGATGTACATGAAAACGTAGGAGACGGACATTAAGAGGACGTGTGACTTCAAGAGCAAAGAACCAAGGATATTAAGGTCGCATTCATATATATATAAATTACGTGTGTAATTTGAAAGCCCATTTAACCCTGTCATAATGAATGAAGCACATCTGCACGTTTGTAATTTATGTAAGTATTTTGTTGGCACCTTTTTTATTAGATGTTATACAAGCAACCTGATGATCAGAACAAGGACATGGTCAAAGTATTTAAATCCTAACAGAGAAAAAGCTGCGTTCTGCTACAATTTTACAACACAATTATGTGTCACTGGTGTTTCATCTCTGTTCCGGTGTTATGTAGAGGAGAAGTTTGATTTAACTTCATTACAGAATGGCAATGCAGATGTTTACTCCTGAGCTACTCCATATAGCCTTTATTGAAATCAGTTGTATCCATTGTCCATATGGATTGTGTCATGCAGGTTTTAACGATCATACTATATTGAAAATGTAAAAATTCCAAAGAAATTCAAAGCCTTCTTGTTGAACTTTTAGTTTATAAAATCATTTGGTTTTAATAATGCACCAGTGCTGCACCTCTGTTATGGTGGCGTATTTATTTTAGATTTATCTAGTATGACATGTTTCAAGAGAATTTGTTTAGGTTGGACCATTAAAACTACCAAAAAGCTTAAGAAAAATAGCTCAAACACCGACCATTACGTTTGTGTAGGTGAGCTTTGTGACTTCTTAGCACTGAGATACTATGCAGCATCATAAGCATGGTTACCTCACCTCCAGCACTTCACCTTTCCGTGTCATGAGCTCACTCTGTTTACCAGCATTAAATATTCAGCAAAAGTGCTCATTTTTGTTATCTCAGATGTCATAAAAAAGTAACTAAAAAATGCTCCCCCATGCCTCACATACATGGTCTACATATGTGAAGCTCAGCTGTGATGTTACTCATGTATATGACTTTAATTTCATTTTGGTTCCTTAAGATTTTATGCACATCAAGTGATTTCAATTTGATCTCCTTGTAATAATGTAGTTTGGAGCATTTGTCTCTGTAGTTGTGATAACATCAGTTGTTTTATTTTTAACAGACCTGATTCCGTGTGACATTTGTTTGAGCTTGTGCATCTGATTTTCTCATCTGCCCTTTGGCTATTTGACATCAGTAGATTTTGTACTGTGGAATGTGTAAAATTTGTTTGGCCCATTAAACAATTTCTCTTTTACCACCAGATGCAGTGTGAATTTCGTAGTGTTTCTATATCCCACGTTTGTATTTTTACTCAAGACTAGGACTGGATTAAATATTCATAACTCTTTAGAGAACACATAAGCTGTTTATTGATGTTACAAATGGATATACAGCATTTCAAACAAATCATACAGCATTGCATATATAAGAATTATTAGATACTGAACCCGATGCACTGCTCATATGACAGGAAAAGAAACAAGCAACTTTGCCACACATTGTATTATAGCTCTCTAGTACTGTAAATTCATGCTAATAAAATAAAGTGTATATTAATATCTAAACAAATACTAAAAATACTCACCACTTGAATGATCTGCTATATAATTGATAGATAAAATACAAATCAGTAAATGACAGCTAAATGGTAAAGAATTTAATTTTAAAAAGTGTAACATTTATCAGATTTTTGATTATTTTTTTCTCTCTCGCTTTTCTCTTTTTCCTCTTTCCACCAAAACAACCATGTTTCTAATATTCCAAGTAACAAGTACTTGGAGTGTTATCTACCAGCAGCAGGATTTATACTGCATCTAATTCATCCTTTGACTCAGAAAACATGCTAACCTAGTGTATAATGATGTTACAGAAAAAATGCCGGTACCTTTTATAAGGGTTTGAAGCGGATTAAACATCTACATCTCTTATAATATGAAGCCATTTAATGCTCAAGCCCAAACAAAAAGAGCCGGACCCAAGATCAGATGATGTTTACAAATGGGCCAGTAATACAGTGAATCTATGCACTGGGTAGTCAAGATGTATTTTCAGTCCTGCTAAGGTTTCTGACTTTTTCTAAGTGAGATTGAAAATATTGCAGCCTCATGCACATGCTGTATCCAAGAGCTTCTTTAAAAGAACAAACAACACAATGATTCATTTCTATAAGCTGAATGATTCACACAGCTTCTCGAATAGGTTTCACAGGTTCTCTATTATTAAGCTAGTGAAGTTAGTAAAATAAAAGCAGACTGGTGACTTACATGTAGCTATTTATATACTTACACTATACTTCCAGCAAAAGTGTTCAAGCCCCTAAACATGTGTTTAAAGATGCATTTAGCATCCTGATGACATCCCATATTTAACAACATGAAAAAAACTGCTACAAGTACAGTATATCCATAAAATAACCAAACCTTAATGTCACGGAACATATAAGTCATATTTCTGTATTGCATACAATACTAAAAGAAGGTATAGTTAAAATATTAAAATATAATGTGTACTAATGTGTATTATATAAATATGTATTATAATAAATATTGTGTTTTAAATATTGAGTTATATTGAGTGTGGAAGTCTGTTTGAGCACAGCCACTCCACACATGCACATAATAATATTGCTATAATTTAATTTATATGTCTCCAAATAAATCAATATATAAATATAATGTTATTATCATTTATATTATTATTTATATTATATCATATTTAAATTGTTTGGCTTCCGCAGCGGAGATATAATAATAATAATAATAATAATAATAATATCATCAATTATTATTATTATGAGTAATTCCAGTGCTTTATAAGCCGGTGAGGTCGACTATGGCTTTAATAAATATGGTGTCATCTCTCAGATATGAGCTTTTGCCTGCCAGCTTGGCTAGAGGGCAGAATAGAGGACAACCACTGGCTATGTTCATCTCACTGATGGGTCTCTGGAAGGATGTGGAGCTCACGTCAGGCCTAAAAGCATCAATGATGTGCTCTCTGTTGTTCTGGTCCAACAACATCAATGTCACCTGGAAGGAAAGAACAGGAGAGTGCCAGGAATTACAATCCATGTGATGCCAAGCTCATGTTCTGAAAGCCTGTTTCACACTGGATTGCGTAAGCAGTAAGCAGAGTGAAGGCAGCACAGGAGCAGTTTGCATGCAGAGCAGGAGCAGCACGCATTCACACTGACAGCTGAACTGCAGTGTACTGCAAATACAGAGGAGTATCTTCCATTGGGTTTTTCAGGTGTTCTCCTCTGACCACGTGCTTTTATTGATGGGCAGCATATTTTGCTGTGATGCGAACGTGTTCCCTTCCTACTGTCCCGCACACATATGCATATAACATGCTGTGTATATGTAGTTTACATGAGAAAAGTCATCTTTACGTTATAAAAGTTTTAATCCTTTAAAACAGGCCATTGAAGTTTGGTCAAAAACTCCTGCCAATGATGAGTTTTCATGCATTTTAATTTTGTTTTTTGTTTTTTATTCACAGCGCTGAATGTCATATGGTGATTGAGAAACACGGAACACCTCACTTATTTGATTTTATGGTGAATTTGTTAGTTTTCATGGCAACTGAGGTCTATTTTAACCAAGAACAATGCACTGTGGCTTTAATTCAGTGTGAGTGGTGCAGCAAAGACGATCACAGCACTGCCACTTCTGCTTTGCTCCTGCTACGCCGGCTTTGCATGCGGTGTAAATGCTCTAACCTGTTAAAATAGGTGCAGAAAAAATATGCGCTGCTTATGCTCCGCTTATGCATGTGGTGTGAAACAGGCCTAAAAGTAGGGCTGCGAAATCGATAAATCGATGCATCGCAAATCGAGAAATGATTCTGCATTGATTCTGAGATTTTCTGAAGGCATCGCGATTCTCTCTTGAATCGATTCTGAGCTTAGTTTTTAACAGCAGATGGCACTGCGTGCTTTAGAAATAGCCGTATTCTGCTTGCTTCCAGTTCCTTACACACGCACCACTTGCACCTACAATAATCATTCATAAAGTTCGAAAAGGTTGAAGCGAATTACAAGGATGTTCACACAGTGGGCTGTTTACATTAATCTCACATCATAAAAGCATAAAAGCCAATGTGCAAGTACATTTAACCACTTACATTACTCAGCCGAACGCACAAGCACTCTTCTTCGTGAGTGGTTAAAAACTAGCCTAGAGTGCCATCTCCTTTTAAAAACTAAGCTCAGAATCGATTCGAGAGAGAATCACGATGCATTCCAAAATCTCCGAATCGAATCCACGAATCGCGATGCATTGATTTATTGTCCCAGCCCTACCTAAAAGATGATGTAGTTAGACACTTCGCATACTTGCTATAAAAATAATTGTAAATTAAGCACAATTACAAGTAACTAACAATAAACCAAACCCTACAGCAAGTACATGGCCATAGCTACTGCCCCTTCCAGTGTCCTGTGGAAACCTCCTGCGCACCTACTTTTTGGCGCAGGCCAGGGCTTACCACAAAAAGACCAGCTACTGCTGCTATGGCACTACCCACTCAGTAAGACTGGATAACACTGGGAAAATGTACCCGTACTACTGGGAACAGGGACGTTGTGGAAGTCCCATACGAACACATATGAACAACTCTTGAATCGATTCTGAGCTTAGTTTTTAACAGCAGATGGCACTGCGTGCTTTAGAAATAGCCGTATTCTGCTTGCTTCCAGTTCCTTACACACGCACCACTTGCACCTACAATAATCATTCATAAAGTTCGAAAAGGTTGAAGCGAATTACAAGGATGTTCACACAGTGGGCTGTTTACATTAATCTCACATCATAAAAGCATAAAAGCCAATGTGCAAGTACATTTAACCACTTACATTACTCAGCCGAACGCACAAGCACTCTTCTTCGTGAGTGGTTAAAAACTAGCCTAGAGTGCCATCTCCTTTTAAAAACTAAGCTCAGAATCGATTCGAGAGAGAATCACGATGCATTCCAAAATCTCCGAATCGAATCCACGAATCGCGATGCATTGATTTATTGTCCCAGCCCTACCTAAAAGATGATGTAGTTAGACACTTCGCATACTTGCTATAAAAATAATTGTAAATTAAGCACAATTACAAGTAACTAACAATAAGACTGGATAACACTGGGAAAATGTACCCGTACTACTGGGAACAGGGACGTTGTGGAAGTCCCATACGTACACATATGAACAACTGTTTAAGCGCATATGGAAGATTAGAGGTGATTGTAACCCTCTTGGAAAATAAAAGGAAGTCTGCCGGGGAAACACGGGCTCTGAGGCTACACCGTGGACTTTACACATATGGGATCCACTTAGGTCTCTACATATTCCAAAATCTCCGAATCGAATCCACGAATCGCGATGCATTGATTTATTGTCCCAGCCCTACCTAAAAGATGATGTAGTTAGACACTTCGCATACTTGCTATAAAAATAATTGTAAATTAAGCACAATTACAAGTAACTAACAATAAACCAAACCCTACAGCAAGTACATGTAGTTAAAATTACATGTAGTGTAAATAATATTTCTGCTTAAGTGTAGGCCTACCCTGTAGCAACATCACCCTAAAATGGTAACGTCTCGTTATGTTACGTAATGGTAACCCTCGTTCCCTGAAGGAGGGAACGGAGACGTCACGTCCCGTCCCATCGCCACGGTTGCTGTACTCTGCCACGTCTGGCTGTCGAGGGGATGGAGGAGCTCGACAGGGTCTACAATATGGACTCTCTGGAGTGGTTTTAGCAAGCCGACCCAAAGCCGGGGCCTCTCAGTGCTTCTACCCGTTTGAGGTGAGAACACAGGAGGATACCGGCTCCACACGATGGCTATAGAATCTAGCGAACGTGTTAGGGGTCGCCCAGCCCGCAGATCTACAGATATCCGCCAGCGAGGCGCCACGAGCCAGCGCCCAGGAGGATGCAACACTTCTAGTTGAGTGAGCTCGTCTCACGGATTCATCGAGTGAGGGCCTGGCGCCGGATGCTCTGCCACGTCTGGCTGTCGAGGGGATGGAGGAGCTCGACAGGGTCTACAATATGGACTCTCTGGAGTGGTTTTAGCAAGCCGACCCAAAGCCGGGGCCTCTCAGTGCTTCTACCCGTTTGAGGTGAGAACACAGGAGGATACCGGCTCCACACGAAGGCTATAGAATCTAGCGAACGTGTTACTTTTCTGTGGCGCCTGTGGCGCAGAAGGATCGACACATGGAAGTACGCGTCCTTCAGGTCGATCACTGCAAACCAATCTTGGGGACGGATGCACCTGAAGATGCACTTCTGCGTGAGCATCTTGAACGGGAGCTTGTGAAGGGCCCGGTTCAAGATGCGCAGATCCAAGATTGGTCTCAGCCCACTGCCTTTTTTGGGCACAATGAAGTAAGGGCTGAAAAACCCCATCCTCATATCGGCTGGAGGGACCAGCTCTATCACATCCTTCGCCAGTAAGACTGCGATCTCTACACACAAGACAGGGGCATCTGCTGCCTTCACCGAAGTAAAGTGGACGCCCCTAAACTTGGGAGGGCGCTGGGCGAAATGAATCGCATAGCTGAGTCTGATGGTCTGACAGCAATCGACATCTGATCGTCAGGGGAGGGCCGAAAGATACAAGTGGTGCCCCCCGGGAGAGTCCAGCCTGTTCTCTCGGCGGCTCCACTGGCTGCGAAGTGCCGGCGGAAGGAGGAGCCCTCGGAGATTGGTTCCTCGGAGGGGAATTCCTCACAGTCACCGTAAGACCAGTCCGGACGCTGCCAGAGGTAGCACAACATTCAGTCCCTGCTATAAAAGTCTGCAACTCTGCATCAAAACAACACAAGTGGTACTGTGATGCTTTAGTCAGTATCACATCACTAAATAAAAGACGAAAAGGAAAGAGTAAGTAAAAGCCCAAAAGAGAAAGTAAAATAGTATCAGATCATTTACCTTCTGGCTAAAGGGCCACTTCAGCAATGCATCATATTTGCCCCTCATGACCACAAAGAATAGAGAAAGATGAGTGCCCCGGCCTGTGCCGTCACCGTTCAGGTAGAGTCTCAGACACATCTTATACCCATATTTACTGGAGTAGAACGCTAGAAAAAAGAAGAAAAATGGTAAAAGCAGGGTCAAACATTTTTTTTCAGGGAAAAAATATTACTAAAGGTGACTAAAATGCTAATATGCTACTAAAATCAGCTTTGAACACTGAATGTGAAGAAATCATTCCCAACAACTCAAAGCCTCTCAAATATTTAAAACTGCTTCTCAGATTGTTAATTAGTTTTAATTAACAGATTGAACTGAACTTTACTTTGACAAAAGACAAATAACATTGAGATTTTATTATATAAAATATAATGATATAATAAAAACAATTATATAAATTATACCAAGATTAATTTAAATTAATTGATATAATTGAAATGATTTAATTGGTATAATTATGTCACTTATATCAAGTTATCAAGTGTGCGTGTGTTTATACACACACACACGTTGAAAAGTTTGAGGTGGGTAATATTCTCAAAAATCTACTTGAAACAATAATATTGCAAAATATTACTACAACTTAAAATAGCTGTTTTTATTTTGATATATTAAAATGTAATTTATTTTTGATGGCAAAGCTGAATTTTCAGCAGCCATTTCTCCAGTCTTCAGTGTCACAAGACCCTTCAGAAATTATTCTAATATGCTGATGCGAGGCTCAAGTAACAAATCATATTATTAGCAATGTTGAAATAGTGCTGTGCTGCTTAATATTATTGTGGAAACTCTGATGCATCTTTTTCAACATTTTAAACTGCGCGCAACATTATAAATGTTGTAATTTTGTATTTCTTACAACAACAAAAAAATCCCCCAACTTTTTCAGATGATAGTAAGCAGAATGTCTACGTTTTTCAGTAAATGTTAGATTGTCTAGAGAGACCACAGGGCTCTTGAATGACACTACAAAAGTGAAAGTGAGCAGTTCTGGAAATAGAGGGAAGATACAAATGTCATAAAAGGACCATGACTAGTCTAGTACAGTGGTTCTCAAACCTCTCCATGAAGTACCCCCAGCACTGCACATTTTGTATGTCTCCCTATATCTGGCACACCCACTTCAGGTCATGCAGTCTCCACTAATGAGCTGATGAGTTTAATCAGGTGTGATAGATGAGGGAGACATACAAAATGTGCAGGGCTGGGGTACTCCAGGACAGGTTTGAGAACCACTGGTCTAGTACATAAACAGCCTTCACATAAGCTTGAAAAATGTCCAAGTCAGGGCATTGTACCACAAAGGGTCAAGGCCCTCAGAATGAAACCCGACAAGTTGTACTTTCAATTTACAAAATGCAAAGTATTTTGTATTGACCCTAGAACATTCTCAGGACACAAGTTAAGTTCAATCATCAGCATGTGATAACAGTGTTGAAAATAATATTCAATTATATTATTATATCGATTATTTTCATATAATCCCCCTTGGTCATAAAAATAAATAAATATTTACAATAACATAGAAATATTAAAATACCAATAATAAACAGACTCGACTAAATGCAGGAGATGCTGTCAATCAAGCTTAACCTTGTATTGAACCTGCAACAGTCCTTTAATTTGATCTTAGCCTTACCAGGTGAGAACATGGCAGGTGCCCGGCCCCCCACTGCGTCTTGTCTGCGACGAGAGAAGTCTGCAATTTTCCAAATGAAAACTCCATCGTATGTACAAAACTGCAGCTCCCGCAAGGACTGCTCTGATTCTGCTAACTGAAGATCTCGCATCGTTAAAGTCTGTTCTAGCTGTCGTACCTTTAAGAGTCACCAAACACAAACGAGAAACATGGTTAAGAAACTGCCAAACAGCTGTTTGTTGTAATAATGTAATTAGATTACTACAACATTGTTGTAATAATGTAATTAGATACTAACAATTAAAGAATATAAATACACAATCCTTTATTCTGTGTGTCTTAGGCTGCGTTTACACTGCAAGTCTTAATGCACAGATCCGATCTTTTGACCATATCCGATTTTTTGGCACGTCTGTTTACATTCACTTTAGACACGACTGGTATCCGATATCGGTGTTTACATTAATTCCCACCCAAAAGGATTGTCTGCAGTGATCGCTTTACTATGCACATGGTAGACCCTCGGGTTTTAAATGGCCGTTAAAATTATTTATATAATTCACGTCGAATTGTCATTATTATTTGCCAGCATGGACAAGGCTGTCATGGATGTTTTGCAGCACAAAATCTGACTGAACGGATAAAGACTGGAAAATAACGGTAATTTTAATTTGTTAGACTATTTTATCTACAGCTCGTTAGAGGTAGAATTCTTTAGTGAAATAAAGATGATATTTATTGAAATTAATTCGAAGGAGAGTGAGAGAGAGAGAGAGAGAGAGAGAACGAACGAACGAACGCATGCACACGTGCAAGCGAGCGATTGTGAAGCATTGCAAACAAGCTTGTTGGTTTAATTACAAAAACTGCCAAGTTATCACCTCATTGCTGAGAAATATATGTAGCTTTTAGCTGTTGTATTTTCAAAATTCACGGGGCGGGGGTTGAAAACCAGCTCCTGAATGTGCAATTTCTTACCTATAAAAAGTTTCCATCTCAATAAAATGTGAGCGCATACAGCACGCCGGCATTAAAACGCCATTAAAAATCTTTATGAGCAAACGTGTCGCCCTCGCATTGGGAGTTCTGTGGAGAATCGGATATGTGTGTTTAGACGTAGGTCGGATGTCCAGATATCAGATGTGTATCCGATTAAAATCCACATTTGGAAGTGGCTCAGATCGGATGCAAAAAAAATCAGATCTTGTGCGGGTTTTTGTGTTTACACGTGTGCAACAAATTCCGATCTGTGTCAGATGTGAGCGAAAGATCGGATTTTTTGTGCCTGTTTAAACACAGCCATTGATTTAAGAAAGTTTGCGACACTGGTATCGACAAATTATCTTTGGTTCAGTGGTGTCTATGGTTCTATGATAATTACCATACACCATATAATAATCTATAAGTAATCCACACGACTCCAGTCCATCAATTAACATCTTGTGGAATGAAAAGCTGTGTATTTGTAATAAACAAATTCATTACCAAGGTGTTTTTAACTTTAAACCATTGCTTCCGGCTAAAATACGAGAATATTCTATCCATATTTTTGTGAACAAGTCATCTCTTCTAAATCAGGAAATTTATAAGCACAAAAAAGCTCAAAATAAGTATGTCTGTGGATTTTGATGTGAGAGGACAACAGGGAATTTGTTTCTTACACTTACAGATTTGTTTCTTACAAACAAGCAGCCTTTCACATTACATTTGGTGGTATACGTAGGACAATAACTGATTGACTGGATTACTTGAGGTCATTTGGACTCTTATTCTGACAACACCCATTCACTGCAAAGGATCCACTCACTGGTGAACAAGTGATGTAAAGCTAAATTTCGCAAAATCTGTTCCGACGAAGCAACAAACTCATCTACAACTTGGATGGCCTAAGGGTGAGTATGTTTTCAGCAAATTTTCATTGTTGGTTGAACTTTACCTTTAAAAGGGCAATTTCTGTCATCATTTCATCTTAATTTTTGGTTAAACTACTCTTTTAACTCAATAATCAACTTATCAGTTATTAGAAAGTCTTGAATGGTCTCCACTTTATATCCCATGTGAATGAAGACTCATGGCAGAGACAGCGAAGGCTCTTCTGCTGGAGGAGGAAAAACACGCGCTCGTGTTTCACAAATCAAAGCAAATCTTGCTAACAACTGTTTTATAGTAGCTTTTTAAAAAAATACAAACTGACTTTCAAAGCTATTAAATCAGAAGGATGGTTTACCCAAAAATGAAAATGTATATCGTAAAACGTCGTCATTTACACACCCCCATGCTGTTCCAAACCTGTATGACTTAGTTCTTTCCATGGAACATGCAGAGCTGTGTCCTGCCCGAATGTACCGCACCAACGCTTAAGGGAAAAATACCATTAGGGGTATAGTGTGCGCTTAAAGCAACAATTTTGTAGCTTTTTACCTGTAAAAGTTTCATAGTAGTACCTTAAGGATACATATTACTAATGTAAGGCACCAATATGCACCTTTTAGGTACATCTGTTGCACATTTATCTAAAAGGGATGTTTGAATATTCAAGATTTATTTTAAAAAACAAGGCATTTAAAAAGATTTTCAGTGAATGATTTAAATTTCAGTCAGTTACTCGTATCATAGTTTCAGAAGTCGTATAGACCACTTAGCACTGTATATTGCTTTTTGTTATTTTTGGAGATCTGCCCCCCTTCATTTTATTATACTGAAAGTTCTCCAGAATTTCTTATTTTGTGTTCCATGGAAGAAAAAAAAAGCATACATTGTTTGGTACTACATTGGGGAGAGTAAAAGATGACAGACAAATTTGTGTAAACTATCCCCTGAAGTAAAATGTTACACCAGCATATCCTAAAACAAGATCGGTCAATACGTCATAATGTGTTACCTGCTAGGTGAGAGCCTCGCATCATGCTCTGACACATAGCAGAGCATCAAAACCATCTCTGCGGTCCGAAAGAAAAAAAAATCCTATAAATCCAATTTAGCGAGCGTTTTATCTGAACTATTTAAGTGTATAATTTTCTGCAAAGTGTGCATAGTACCTTGTTTGACAAGTTCTCTATCTTTTCCTGATCTAACCGATGTTGACGAGATAGTGCCTCCAGGGTGAGGGCCGAGCGCTCCACCTCCCTGTTCAACACACACACTATGTTCTCCAAAGCTGTGACTTTCTGCTGTACACCAGGACCGACTCCTCTTGGTGCATTATGGCCAGCAGCATGAGCCCCCACTGGAGATGCGTCTTCAGGTCCGCGATACAATCCCAGTCCGGAATCTTCCTGCAACTCTCCAGCACCCTCGGCCCGCAGGCGCACAGAGGACAGCACGGCTAGCATGAGATGCAAATGTTCCGTCATGCTGGTCTGCTCATGCTCCTGCTGCTTACCATTGTCAACCTATGCAAAAATATTTATATTAGTACTACATTAAAAAGGGCTGCATAACATTATGTAAAAGCATTTCCTTGATATTAAAATTATTTATTAATTTATGTTGAAAAATGTCCTGTGGTTACCAAGAGAAAGAAAGGGTTAAACACATAATTGAAGCAAGACACTATTAGCACACAATTCTCACGATTAACTAGTTGCTTATTAGCATGCCTTCTTGAAAATCAAATGATTTTAGTTGTTATATAATAATTAAATGCTTTTGTTAATGTTGCTGCTATTGAGGTGTGATTCGGGTAAGAATTGGGGGCAGGTTTGGTTGTATGGGTAGGTTTATGGGTCAACAGTGTATGGGGATCAATTTGATTACTATAAGGGAAAATGGTTCAATCTGTTTATACTACATTGTTTCGATAAATGAACAAGAATTTTCTGATTTGTTTTCTTCTGTTAATGTATGATTCAAGGAATACTAACATAAATGTTGAGGCAATAAAAAACATAAGGCACTCAAATTACAATATGTTTTATGTCTTTAGCAAGCATTTAGTTAAACTTAAATAACCACCCTTCACACAAATGTTGTTACAGCAGCTAAAAGTCCAATGGCCATAAAGGTACTGAATGATTAGTGAATATTTATAAACATTTACAAATAGACTGGGTACTGCAAACTGGGTACTGCAAACATTTATTAATAAATGATTTGTAAAGATGTGTAAATAGTAGAAGTCTACACAACAAACGAAGACCCAATATATGACCTTTACAGACTTTAATTATGAGTTAACAAGTATTATATTAAAACAAATAGTTTGTGAAGTGCTAAAAATTACTAATTAAGCTATTTTTTCACAACATTTATAAATGTAAAAAAAAGAGCATTAGGTAATATGTAAACTGAAGTTGAATGACATTTCTTAGCATTCAAAAGTACATTAAAAATAAGCTTGTAATCGTATAATTTCTGTTAAAATCATTTGTAGATTTTTAAAAAGTGCATGATCATAAGAATTGAGCATTTCATGATATTTGGAAGCATTTTAATTTACATTAAATAATGATATGTTAATCATTAGGTCATGTTTAACAAGTTCTTTAGTAAACAATAACAAGCACATTAGCCCCTGTCACACATACAGTCTTTACTGGTAAATTACTGCTAAATTACCATTAAGAGATAATGGACCTTTTCAAAAATACCTGTAAATTCGTTCTGGCAATTTACCGGTATGAGAAGTTGTAACATTACCAGTAAATTACCGGTAATCTGCAGTGTGAATGCAGAATGAAGATTACTGGTATGAGCACATTTGAGTTCAGAACACGGTGACGTAAGACGTCTACTCTGGACCAATTCAGAGCCATTGAAATTCTAAATTCAATCATAACATTCTGATGATTTATTTACTCCGTGCTGTGTAGTCCAGTCTAATATCTCTGGCAGTGTTCGAATTGTGTCAAAGCTCCCTCACCAGACCCTCCCCGCCCCCACCTTACTTAGTTTTTTTCATCTGTAAAGTATTTCCCCAAATGATTCACCAGCCTTTGCAAGTACACAAATTACAGTACTGCATACATTTAATACCTAGCAATGTCATTGAGTTTGGGACTTTTCTAACCCACAATCCAGACTATTTAATTAGTTTGGTTCTATTTTAGAAAAGCATGGGAAAGCAAAGCGTGAACTGAAAGACTCAAACAGATGCCATAGTTCTAAGTATTGTGACCAAATTATTTCAAGGCTTTTGAAACTTATGAAGCATTTCAGAACAGCTAACAGAGAGTAACAAAACACCACAAATGAAATAAAATACTTTCTGATGGCCAACACTACAACACTACAACACTAATAACTCCGAAATGCTTGACATTTTTTCTATGCTCCAAAAAGGCAGTAGATCTCCTTTGAACAATAATTTCTTGAACAGCCTCAATTCTATTCTGAACTTATGAGAAACAAATACACACCACTGCCCTGCAGCCAATTTCACTGAACTGGCACGCCGACTTAGACTTTGCACAAGACTTGATGTGCTCTTGAAACTGAAAAAAGAGAAGGGAAAATCAGAGAAAAAAGTCAACACACGAGCATGACAACAAATAATTAGAAGCATTGTGTGAATAATCATTAAAAAAAAAAAACGTTTTAGAGGCTAATATATATTTAACAGAGTGTTTACATTCATACTGACAAATACTGTAATTCAAGCAGAACCAATAAATGGCTGAGAACGCAGACCAACCTTCTCTCTGGGGATTTTCTTTTTACCACAGTCTTTGCATTGCATGGGGAATTTCTGACATATTTCGTCATGGGCCTGTGACACAAAAGTGTAATGTAGGAAGGAGAATCAGCAAAGATAATATGATATCAACAACTATTTTGCTCACTCTTTGTGCTTCAACCCCTATGCATTTCATTTACATTTCATTTGCATTTTCATTTCCTCTGATTCTTTTATCATTAATAATTATTATTATTATAATCACAATATAGTTATTTTATCTTTGTTAATAAAAAGAACAAAGATACATTCACAATTAGAAACATTCAAATAAGAAATAATACAGAAACCAAATATTCAAATGTAAAAATTACTACATAGTCTTAGTGTATCAATTATAAATAAACTGATTATTATTAAAACTACAAAAGTTACTCAGTCAAGATCAGCAAGTGATTCTCTCTTTTCTTTTGTTGTTTGGTAAACATTAATGACACAGACAGCACCAGGTTTATTATATTAAGACCTAATGCACGGACCTAATATAATGTTACACATCAGATCCCCCCCAACTATGTTTACATGAATACTCACCAACAGACAGATATTTTTAAATAATTTCTGTATGTCTGACCGTTCAAGTGCAATACGTCGCTAAAGAGAACTGAATTCGGGAACGCATGCCGAGAGGTGGCTTTTTGTGCAGGTGCTTCAGCTGTGTGCCAGACAGCGCAAATAATGCATTGAGATCTTTTTCATGGCTTATTGCCATCCCGTACTTTATTTTCTCATTTATGCATGTTCTTTTTGTGAAAACTGAAATGGAAATATTAGATGGAAGTGCTTTGTTTTTTAATAACAGGGGTACTTTAATTACAATTAAACAGTACTTTAATATGTATGATAGGTCTATTTAAGAACATTTTTCAAGAATTTATTCTTTTATTTTCACATCAATATGTGGAGTAACAGTTATACTCCACAGCTCTAGTTAACACAGCAAACATTAAATGCACACAAACTACAGAATAAATCAGTAGTAAACTTAAAGATAGGTCACTTCTAGGATGTGGATTACCTTAATTTCTTTGAAGTTGAATGTGACCTTGCAGTATTTGCAGTTCAGGGTTCTGGCCTCGCATTCCCGCTCATTGTGGCGGTCTTTCTCACTGACCAAGATGAGTGCTTGACATGCTTCACATTTTACACGTTCAAAGTCACAACGACCTTCATGCTGACCCTAGTGAAGAAAAGAAGTATCTGTTAAGAATGTCTATCTTAAATGCTATGTTGAAAGGAAAAGTACCACATTGTTGTGTATGAGTCAACTCTTAAATTGTGCCCCATTCAATATTATCTTGAGAATATGAATAGCTTTTTATAGCTAGCTGTTGTTCATGCCCTTTATTCCCATGAGATGCATTTCCTGTTTTTAAGTTACTAAATGATCACAAGACATAACTGGCTGAAAGTACATAATGACCTTGTGGACAAGACAGTCACAAGACAGAACAAATGCATCTGCACAAGAATTTATACTAATTTGCATTTTCAGAATTCTGAGATGTAGGGAGAATTGGGGTAAACTGCAACACAAGGGGTAATTCATCCAAAAATAACAATTCTTTAATTGTTTACCCACATTTATGTTGTTCCAAACCCGCATTACTGACTGAATAGGAGAAATTAAAATTAAAATTAAGTACTAGTTAATCTTTTTCAAATTTAAGTTAATGTATGGCTATACATAACATAGTGTATATGCTTTATTTTCTATTAATTTGTTTTAGATGAACATTTAAGTAACAAGAAGAAAAGCCGCAGCTATTACAGAAAAACCAATATAAAGTTTTACAATTTACGTATAGTTATGTACAGTTATGTAGTTCACTACATCTTTATAGGTCATCTTCCACTGGTGTGTCTTTGTGCAAATGTAATGCTAGAGCTAAGGCCAATTCACACTACACTGACAGACGACCAAGTACATACATCGCTTCTCAGACATTCCAAAACCTGACAAACACCGATTCAACATATTCAATCAGTGAAAATAAGCGTCGACCAACATACAGGGGTAACACACTGATCAGACAAAACCTGACAAATGTGTATGTTGCAATTTGTCTGCATCTGTCAGTGCAGTGTGAATTGGTCTTTAAACAGGAAGGGTGTGGGAAATATAATGGCAGTTATATCTGTTACTCAGAAAAAAAAAAAAAAAAAAGAGATCAGAATCAAGTAAGTCAGTCATTACACCAGTTTATCAATCTATACATCAAAGAAACAATCTGAGATAAATATTCTAAGAACATGGTCAGACTTTAGGGGAATTTCTTGCTTCATTTCTTTAATTACCATGTGTTCACACCAGATGAATCAACACTGACTCAATCTGACTTAATGACTTAACATTCAACACTGACTTAATCACTAAACACAAGGGAAAAATGTGGGTCGTACCAATGCTTTTACCAGCCAAATGGAAGTAAAAAACCAAGTTAAACTTGAAAAGGTTTCAGGTTTTCAGAAACAAGACTGAAAGTCAGAATGGAAACTTGGCAAGAGTTTTTGTCAGCAATCAAAATATCTAGGTTCACAGATTATAAATAACTTTAAGCATTACTCTCATCTTACACAATCACATACACTTATAGCACTATATAACCATCAGCTCTCTGAATGCCTTAAACTACTCAATAAATCTTTATTTTTTTTAATTCTGAAAACAGTTCACCAAATATACAAAACCCTTTTTCAATACAAAAAAGCCTTCCAAGCTTAACATTTTAAAATAAACTAAATTATTTCCATTATCATTACACAGAAGGGTAAAAGGTAGTGGTCGACCAATTATATCGGCTGACATTTTTTGACAGCCGATGTCAATATCTTGGAAAGCAGGGTGGCCGATGGCCAATATAAAGCCGATATAATTGTATTTATTTTAATTAATATTTAAGAAATATGAAATCATTTGAAAATTGATTAAATTAATTTGTAAAATAAACATACTTATACTTTAGATGACAAAGTATTTAATAAAAATATAATTAAAAAGGAAGTAAACTGTAACCAACAGAGCACTCAGTATTCTGGGAAGTTTATGTGCATTTGGGAATCATATGTTTTCAAATAAAGCCATGGTAACACTCATTTTACATACAGCACACAGTAAAAATGACATTAATATGACAGTGGGCAAATACATAAAGCGCAGCATAATTTGAAATCACGAATTTAATGTTTAAAGCATTCAATTTGCACGGACCGAAAGTCACGCAGAGAACACGCGATCATGCAGGTCACATGCACACTTCACAAGATCTCACAACTGGATTCGACTAAGTTTGCAAGGTTTGTGAAATTAAATTGTCATTAGCCATTCAAAGATTTGTTTAAAGGGGTCATATGATGCTTTTTTAAAGATCATTATTTTGTGTATTTGGTGTAACAGAATATGTTGACATGCTTTCTCTCGCTCTCTCTCGCTCTCGCTCTCCCGCTCTCTCTCTCGCTCTCCCTCTCTCGCTCTCTCTCTCTTTCTCTCGCACACACACACTCTCGCTCTCTCCCTCCCTCGCTCTCTCTCTCGCTCTCTCTCTCTTTCTCTCGCACACACACACACACCATGCGCAAAACTCAGCATTTGAACAGTCAATAGCAAATACTTAAACTAATAACAAAACAGTAGCTGATTCAGAAGTG